TCCATAGCATTTGCTGACAATGGCCCTCAGTTCAGAGAGGAGGTTTAAATTTTTCTGCTATGTGATTTTTTTTGTATCCAAGTTCCTACTAGGCCAGGTAGCTGCAGTTGTGAAAACTGACAATTGTCTTAAAATCAAGTTTTATTGCCACTCCTTCCTATAGTGGCATTAAATGTTTATCAGAAAATCCATGTTATTGTCTTCCTCCTACATCTTAATGGGGTGAAATAATATACATTTTAATAATAAGGCCTATAAATATCTGGGGTTTTGTAAGTCTAAGGGATGTCATATTTTGAGGATTATGGGCTTTGTATACCCATAAGTCAGTATCTTTTTCATTCAATCCTTCTAAGCTCAGCATCTATTTATTTCTACAGATTTATATGAAGTATAACCTGTTCTTTTTGATATAAGCTAAAGCAAACACCTGTCACACTATATGTTATGCTGGGATCATTTTCTCTTATGCTCTGGTGGCAAAAGTCTGATGAGATGACTTCTCTATAGCAATACTGTAGATAGTGTAAAATGGCATACCCTTTCTGAAAAACAATCTGGCAATATCAATGAAGAGTTCTAAAAATGGTTATGCTCTTTCAGCCAGTAACCGCATTTTTAAGAATCTATTTGAAGGAAATCAGAAATGAAGGTAACTATTTATATACCTAAGAGTCCAAGATGTGATTTTTTTATCAAAGCATTACAATGTATAATAAAGAAATGTTAAATAATAATATATTCACATATTGGAATATATGCAGATATCCAGGTTGGTGATTTAGAAGAATATTTTGATGTGAAACAATTTTTATAATATAATGCTATTCGGGGGAAAAAGGATTCCATATTGTCCACCTAGCTAGTCTCAAATACGTGTATGTATATGTATAAAAATATATGCATACAATTTGGAAAGAAATACAAGACTAATAGTAGTTATTTCTGGGTAATGGTACTATGATCGAATGTTAGTAACTTTTTCATGTTTTCTATACACCCCTAATTTTCTACAGTGACGTTATATTTTTGTATTGGGGGGGGGAAGCAAATTTAAAACAAAAGACATTCATCAATAGATGAATAGATAAAATGTGATATTATCCATACAATGGAAAATTATGCAACTATAAAGGGAGTGAAGTTCTATACATGCTACAACATGAATGAACCTTGAAAACATCATGTTTTCTATACACCCCTAATTTTCTACAGTGACGTTATATTTTTGTATTGGGGGGGGAAGCAAATTTAAAACAAAAGACATTCATCAATAGATGAATAGATAAAATGTGATATTATCCATACAATGGAAAATTATGCAACTATAAAGGGAGTGAAGTTCTATACATGCTACAACATGAATGAACCTTGAAAACATTATGCAAGCAGATATGAAAGGACGAATACTGTGATTCTACTTATATGAAATATCCACAACATTCAAATCACAGAAACAGAAAGTACGTCAGAGGTTATCAGGGGCTGAGGGAGAAGGAAACAGGGAATTATTGCTTAATGGGTACAGAGTTTCTGTTTGGGATAATGAAAAACTTTGGAAACAGATAAAGGTGGTAGTTGCACAACATTGTAATTGTAATTAAAGCCAATGAGTTGTACACTTAAAATGATTTAAATGGCAAAATTTTATATTATATTATATACAGGGTAGGGCAAAAGTAGGTTTACAGATATTTGTATGGAAAATAATACAGTGACTAATAAATAAGAATAAATTCTGTGTGTGACATACTCACCATATAAACCTACTTTTGCTCAACCGTGTGTGTGTGTGTGTGTGTGTGTATCACAATAAAATATAGCAAAAGTGGGAAATTAAAAGTTAAAGTATGGCTGTTATGGAATGATAAGGTAAATGGGCATGGTACTTCCCCTTTACTCTCCTATATTCAAAGCTGTCCACCCATTGGCACCTGAGGCTCTAATTGGAGGAAGAAGAAATTGTGGAAAGGGTTAATCAATAACTTTAAAAATAGGCAACTTGGTTAATAATCATTATAACCCACAATATGAGGTTGTAATAATAAATGTATTGTAGCAAAGCAATTTAAGCTAAGGGCAGCAGAAGTACAAAGAAAGTGTTGATTTCTAGAAGATAGGGAAGGGTTCATAGAGGCAGAATTATAGCCTAGAAGCTGAATGTAACAGTAAAACTCTATGAAGCAACTAGGCCATCTGAAGCAGAAATTCAGATTTTTGGTGACACTGTTCATCAAACAATTTTGATAAAATAAATTGTTTCTGAGAAATGGAACCACTGCTATGTTGATAGATTAATGTTATCAGGGGAAGAAAAGTGACAGCACAGTCACTATATCCAACTAGATTACCAAATAAGAAGCACATCCATATATCTTCAAATGTCACAGAACTTAAAACACTTCCAGAAATTTAGTTCTGGGTTACACTCTTGGAATTCACCTAAGAATGCCTTCCTAAAACCTGGCTTTGTATGAAAACAGTCTCTGACACTCCCCTGCCCTTTACTCTTTGACAGCTTTGGATTTCTCTATCTTTGGTAACATGTAAAAGAAATCTATATATGATTATAATTATTAAACCAAATCAACAAGCTAATGCATGCATAAAAGACCAGAGAAGCTTGTCTCAATCCAAATAGTCATTCAGTTTTTAAAGTTTCTCAAGAGGATTAAATTAAGCTTTGGGAAGGGAGAAAAATCACCGATACTGACAGCTTAGGAAGTAAGGTTAGAACTTTACTTGGTAAAAGTGCAACTAGTTTGTGAGTGTTGGAAGACAGCATGCAAGCACATGAACACAAATGGTGCATGTGAGAGTGTGTACATACCTATTATGTACCATTAATTTTGTGCGTGATATTCTGGAGCTATGACTCTTCAAGAAGTTAGAATTGTACTGGCAATACCAACAATTCAGTTTAATAAATACTATAATAAAAGTCAAAACAGGACATTACAGGAAAGACATCTAACCCTTCTTTGCGTAAGTATGTATATGTGCTACCAGGAAAGTTTCTGAGAGGAAGTAAACACCTGCATTAAGACCTGAGAAAGAAGAAATCAAAACAACAATGAGGTACCATCTCACACCTGTCAGAATGGCTATCATCAACAAATCAACAAACAATTGCTGGAGAGGATGTGGAGAAAAAGGAACACTCGTGCACTGCTGGTGGGAATGCAGACTGGTGCAGCCACTATGGAAGACAGTATGGAGTTTCCTCAAAAAGTTAAA